CAAGTCACTTTTTGATTGTAAAATATCTACATTTAATATCTGCTTGTTGCATGCAGCCATCCACTTGCTTCATATTATTATGGAGTGTTATGGCATACTTAGTGGCCATTGTCACCAAGATGACTATTCAAAAGTAAGAATACCAAGTTAACTAGGATGTTATTTAAATTATTTGACACATAGACATAATTTATTTGGAATATGCGGTTTCATTTTAAGTTGCCCATGAAACAGGATGCATATATAAATTGCACAGAAAACAATGGGGATAATGTACAATCCAATTATGCTAACATCACCAATACATGCATAATTCAATATAAAATGAAATGAAATGGAATGGAATGGAATATTGGTTTCCTTACCTAGTTTAAACTGGATAGGAAAATATAATTTCTATTTACCTAGATATCTAACCTTATGGCACAGACCTATTTCAGTTTGTTAATGGTGAGATGATGTGGGCCATACGCACAATCTCTACAAATTGAACATTCTAACTCTTTCTCCTAAAAACCCATTTCTGGTCACTTCAGGCATTCTTCTGTGCACACAACTGTAGGCAACATATCCCAAGTTAATCCAAGGCACTGAAGGCCAAGAATGTAGTATTAACAATATTTATGCATTGCTTGGAAATAATAATAAGAAAAATTAATAATAATGAGGTGATCACTAATACTTTTTGCATTGACTGAAGATCAATGGATGACTCCAGACATCATCACATAAACGCACTCTGAGTTGAAGAACAGGTTATAAAAAGTGCAGATTAAGGAAAAGCTATATGAGAACTACTTTATACAGAAACTGGTAGTTTGAGCATTGTCCATAGCTCAGGATATCTTACTATGAGCATGTCTGCACTGTACTTCTAGGCTGCTCCTGTCTTGTGCCCATGGCAGTTTTAGTCTAAGTCACTTTAAGAAAAACCTGCCCGGCCTGAGATGGTTTGGCAACTTCTTGAAATGGATTCCCTCTGGACTGCAGGCTACCATGTTCTCCCATAGGACAATTTCCCTGTTGTTGTACCGTCCCAACTTCCTGTTTCAGCAAAGCAATGGCCAATCACTTTCATGTCTACAAAGTTAAATTGAATGCATAAATATAAAGGTAAAGCATCAAAATGTACATATGCACAATGACCAGATTAAAAATAAATTTTATTTTCTTGCATTTTCAGAGTTTATTTGAGAAAGGTCTGTTGCTACCTCGGTTACAGTGTCTTTCTAGAGGCACAGTGGCTAGAACATTTTCTTTACATACCTGGTTCAAAACCTAGCAGAAACGTGTTTTTTATTATTTTTTTTTTCTTTCCCTGACCTCCATATTTAAAAATTTTTTAAAAGCCAGGAAAAAATATAAATCTAGGGTTGCGCCTTTTATCATTTCTACAGTCACTTGAGTCAAATGACTGGAGACTCAAGTGACTAAAGAAACCACAACATAATGGAACCATGGACTATTTTTTTAATCCCATGAAAAATAGGGAGATCAGGAAAAGAAAAAAAAATCAGGTTTCTTGTTCTGTAAAACAAGCATTCTAACCACTGTGCTATTGCAATAATAATTTAACATAAGCAGCAAAAGACCTCCTTGAAGACTTCCTCTTGAGGGTAAATTGAGGGCGTAAAGAGTGATGTCATCCATTCCTGCCCTCAAAAAATGGTTGCTGCTTTGTTCATCATAGTGAACTAAGACCTTAGGCTGGCAATAGTACTCTGGAATCACAAAAGTTTCCACTACTTTCAGCTGAATTATTAGAAATTATCTTCTCCATGTAAAGTTTGTGCTAACTGCAGTTCTACTGAGCAACATAATTTCCCAAGGTAAAGATGATTTTTATGAAACAGAAGACCAGGATGTTTATGTACAGATCAAACCCACTAAAATCAAGTGAGTGCATTATAACTATCAAGGTCCATTGATTTCATGGGTCTGCTGTTAGTATGGTGAATTCTGGATCCATTCCATTATATATCATGGGAAAAAATATATCCTAAGAAATGGAGTGGGAGTTGGTTTATTGTCCATGTGAATTTTTCAGGTGTGCCCCTTTCATAAGAAAAGTTCATTCAGTCTTTCTTCAACAATAACTCTAAAAGAAAGAGTTTTTCTACAGTCTACTAACAATAATGAATGTCAGAAAAGTGTTAAATATACTCACTGAGATTATGGTTGTCCTTTTTTTGTCTCTCTTTTGCCATTGCTCGTGTATCTGTGACAGAAAGCAAAACTTATTTATATGGGTCATGGAGTGCTCTGAGTTACAATGAACTTTTTTCAAGCAAAGTTTTAAATGTTTTACAGGCTCAGATTCCCTAATGATTTTGCCACTTCCTGCTTCCGTATTTGTTGTTTAGAGCATGTGCTGACTTTTTATTTTATTTTTTTTAAATCATCATGCATTTTTAATTCTTAAAATTCTGAAGAAGCAGTATCCAATTTGTTGTACTTTACATGGGGGTGGGAAAAAAACCCTTATAATACTTTAAAGTGAATTTGAGTTCCTATTCCTATCATGCCAGACATAATCATATTTCTAAACTATTTGTATGTTGGGGAAAGAGGAAGAAAACCAGCTCTTTGTTCCCTTTGAGTTGCACTGATAAACTGCATGGTTGTTAACATTCTTTAGATTAATTGAAGGAAAGTCTGAAAGATGTTAATTCATTAATGTGGTGAATGGGTGTATTGTGAACCTTCAAGAGAGTCACTTATGATGACCTGGAACAAATGTAATGGATGATAATTTATTTATATCATGGGCCAGAAGTTAAAATGTGTGCAGATTGATTATGTTTCCTACAGTAATTACAGTCATTAGCAGCATGTGTCTAGTTATACTTTATTGTCAGGAATATTCACTTCAGGACAAACAGAGAAAAATGTTTTGAACCAGATCTTTCTGATTCAGGGACGTTCCTAGTCATCTGGAGATAGAGTGCTAAATGGCTAATAGTGTTCCCTACCTGTTCCACATTTCATAATTCATTACCAAGAGTGAAAAGAATCACTTGGATGGTTTAAAACTAGTTAGTGAGGGATTGGAGAGTAGAAATAGTACACTGTGAAAGTGTACAATGTGTATTTAAATCACTTCCACTGTTTTCAATCTGCATGGTTATCTTTGTTCTACAAACAACACAGACACTTCAGCAACTTTTTTAAGGCAGCAATTATTTTTGTTTAAAAAGGGTTTTTAGTATGCCAAAACCTCAAAGCTATATTACCTGTGATTTCCCTTTTAACAGGCAAATTAGAAGGACAGGAAGTATTGGTAAGACCCATATTAGCAGCTGTCATTCCTTGGTCACTGTTGTACATATCCAGAATGCTACTTGAAGGCTTTTAAGAACACAGAGGGAGTGAAAGAAAAAGACATAAAATTAGGTATGAGGGAATCAAAATAAATTCATGATTTTGTAAGGGGAAAAGCATATGTAGATACTTAAGAACAAAATTCCTTTTCAAATGCGTATTCATGTCTTAATCTCAACGGGAACTGCAAATGCTCATCTAAAAAACAGACTTTGCCCTTATCTTGTATAAAATAAAATTAAATGTTAAGGGTCAAAATTGCCATTGTTCCATATGCAGAAACTAGAGGAAGGTTGATTTGAGTTTTATATGCAGAATGATGCCTGGTTATGGCCCCTGATGTCTGATTTTGAATTAATGCCATAGCATATTTTCCAATAACAGGATTACTGCTACTACACTTCAAATATGAGTTAAGTTGAAAGGGAAAATAACCTTGCTGATCTTACCTGAGACCCAAGTGAATTTCTAACTATCTCCCTGAACTCAGTTCCTAAATTGTTTGTGCTTCGTGCAGCATACAAAAAAGATGCAGCTATGCAAAGCATCTTAAAATGGACTTGGGTGGAGCATAGGAGACCATGCTGTGGGCAATTGACTTACAAGGGCATTAGGAGAGATTAGGTAATTAATTCTCTATCTACTATGTAGACATAAACTTTATAACCTGCTATTTGATCATTCACTTCTGATCTTTAACATGAAATCCTTCCATACATAAAATTAGGCTTGTAGATATTTTGTTGGGATTTTTTAAATAACTTTCACATTTGTAATGCCCTTGATTGATATAACCTTACACAATATGAACAGTTGGTTCATACAGAAAATCTAGAAGTACCAACTATTCCAGTGCCTGTAATTTTTTCCCCCAATAGATGGGTACTCCATGATTCAAAAGGGGACTTGGGACCTTTGTTTCCAGGGTTTTAACTTGCTAGGGCATCAGGCAATTGGCTGGCTATCCACTGGACACACAATCAACCTTCATCTGCTCTTAGTGCCCTACATAATGCTTTAGTTTTGTTAAGAGTCTCTGAGTAGGCGCAGGGGATGAAAGTCCCAAGGGCGTGCTTTTTAATGTTTCCCAGATCAATGCACAACAACTGATTGTTTTGTCCTATTTGTTATATGGCTACATGGAGTTCTCATAGAGCACAAGTTAGGAATAATGAGAGAGAGAGAGCACCAGTTTGGTGTAGGGGTTAAGGCATCATGCTAGAAACCGGGAGACTGTGAGTTCCAGTCCCGCCTCAGGCACAAAGCCAGCTGGATGACCTTGGGCCAGTCATTCCCTCTGAGCCCTAGGAAGCAGGCCATGGCAAACCACTTCTGAAAAAAACCTTGCCAAGAAAATGGCAGGATCTTGTCCAGACAGTCACCAGGAGCCGGGTCTGACTTGAAGGTGTGCACACACACACACACACACACACACACACAGTAATAATGAGATATCAGAAAACAGAAGAAAGGAATCACAATAGCCAAAGGTCTAAAATGCATGATAACCCAAAATATCAGTAAATTGGAGTATTTAGCTTTATATCCAACAGTAAATGAAAATACAAAAACTAATTAACAATGCAATTTTATCAGAGGCATCTACAAGATCTGATGCTTTCATCAAAATGACAAAAACATTGTTGCACTGTGATGCTACCAGCTCCTTTTTTATATGCATGCTATATGGTGGTGCATGTACAAAAGGGGTGCAGCATGATGCTGCTTTTGTTACTTGCCCCTACCTTGAGCCCTCGCCCCACATGGATGCCTCGGGAACTTTTATATACTCAGAAAGAAGCCCCACAATGTGGTCAGCATACACCATCTTCCAGCCTAATAATGTTACTAGATATCATTTGTATGGGTAGCAGTCAAAAGCTATGTTGGTGACTTGGGTTAATGTTACCTCTCAGTCCAACCTTCCATGAAAGGTTATTGTCAGGATAAATGAGGGTGGATTACTTCTGGGACTAATGGACATTAGGAATTAGAAAAAAAGTCATGGAACTTTGTTTTTGTACATGATAACTTCAGCAAGATTATTATATGCTCAAAAGTGGAAAGGTTCGACACTACCCACAATGGAGGAATGGTTGGTGAAGATGATGGAACTTGCGGAGATGGTTAAATTCACTTCTTTGATCAGAGAAGAAAACAGTATCTACATTTATGGCTGACTAGAAACCTCTTATAGACTTTTTGCATGAAACAGAAAAAAATACACTTATGATTTGTGGTTTTGATGATTAGAAAAAATTGGATAATAGAAAAAAGCGAGATTTTGTAATCATAGAGTAAGAGATAATTTTGTAATTGTACTTATAGAAGCTTCTTCTTTCTTTTTCATTTTATTCTCTTTCTGCACTTTTGCTTTTCTCTTTCTTCTTTGTTCTTTTAGTTTGTGTTAGTTTTTATGCTCTTTGTAAAACTATTAATAAAATTTATTTTAAAAAAAGGATAAATGTGGGTGGAAATATGTGCAATTCATTGAGCTTTCTGGAGGAAAAATGGGATGCAAATGTAATAACTAAAGAAATGCATAAATAAATACTGAAGAAAACAAATGTATTGTCTAATATTTAAAACTTCTAGCACTCCATCATATCTCAACAACGCATTTCATCCACAACCTTTATTCATCCTCAGATAATGACCAAGTGAAAAAGCAGAGGTGGAAGAGAAAAAGTGGAATAAGGTCTCTTTAAGAAGAGAAAATGGATAAATGTATTGAAAATTATAAGAATAGGATGCAAAGAGTATTGTTGAGCCAAACCAAATATCCACTTTGTACAACAAACAGGGCATGAATGTTGCAACATTCACCCTGGAAACTGATGTTGAGAGATATTCTATCTCAGATATTAGAGGGAACCAATAACCATTGATAGCCTGTATGGTTTTGTGTAATCCTTTTTAAGCCATCCAGACAGGTAATCTCTGCTGTATTTTTAACAGCAGATTCCATATTCTGAATATGTATTATGTGAAGAAAGGCCCTCTCTTTGTCCCAATTCAGCCAGCATTCAGCTTCATTGGATGACCAGTGAATTCTTCCTCTATGTGTGCATACATTTTTCTAGCCTGAATCTAGAAACATGCTGTTTTGTATAAATTTTACATGATAAATCTTGTCTATTATATTATAGTTCAGCAGTTTTCAGATCTGCTGTGTTTTTAGCAGACTTTTTCTAATCCATAAAAATCATCGCCTGTTTTTATTTGCAACTTTCTCTGATATATGGTCAGTGTTCCTGATGCATGCAATTTTTAATATAAATACACAATCTTTTATGGATGTTATCCTTTGTTACATAAATTTCAAAATGCAGGTTTTATAAATATAAAAGTATTTTTAATGATGTAATTACCTTCCTTTTTTTTTTTTTGCATGCATTTTACCAGTTGCATCTCACAAACAATTTGGAGGTGGGGTAGATTTTTTTTTTTTTAACACAAATATCAAACATTAGAAGACTATGTTAAATATTCTTTTGGGTGGAGTTTATTTTGGCAGATCTCATTAATCAATTCATAATTAATGGTGAGTTACTTTTAGATCTATAACCTAGTCTAGGTAAACATTTCTTTAGTTCCAGTGTATGTTGAACTTCAATTTAAATATAAAAAATGTGGAGAATCTTGGAAATGTTGATGGAATCAGGTTTCATGGCCTAGCGTACTTTCCATCAGATACATTAAGTATTACCCTAAATTATCAAGCATATGTATAATGCTGGGATGCTGAAGAAATCAGGATTGAGTTCAGAAGAAATGAAAAGCAAATATGAAATTATATATAATGATACAGAGACCATTAAGAAGGCAGTGCTGATTGTAATGCTAACATTATCACTGGAAGGCTAATTTGTTAATAACTGTTATACATATTAGGGTTTCATTAAATGATCACCATACATTTATCAGTCTGCCTGAGTGTATATGTGGGTATGGCCTATCAATTTAAGATAATACTTTATGCATTTGAAGGAGTGGTTTCCAACTTTGTGGCTGCCATGGAGAAAATACAAAAATACATCAAGAAATAAAACAGCAAAAGATACATTTATTGTAGCGAGCATCGGGTAGCACTATATTTAACTCTGAGCTATATAGAGCCTTTAGTTCAAATCCTGGGCCAGGTAAGAACTGCAAGGGTTTATTATTCTCTCATAGTACAACCAAATTCATTATGTTTTTGCAAAGATTCAGTGATGTATACCCTCTTTTCAAAGGAAGAGTGAGATACTTATCATGCTGACAGCAGGTTTGACTTGACGCTGTGTGTGAAAAATGTTTTCCAGAACTACATATCCTCTTAATCAAAATGGGGAGGAGGAGAAGGAGGAGGAGGAAGAGATAAATGGAGATACCATTTCACTATTTGAATCATTCTGTTAGGTTTCATTTCTTACACTCCATTCCTCACGTTTGATATGGATTCAGGGACTGAGTCTCAAACTAAACAGGCTGTAGAATATCCATGTGTCAGCTATAATATCTCAGTTCTTGGAGTACACCTGCATCATATTGATTTCTTTCTGTGATCTGTTTCTGAAATGCATGCAGGAATGTACAAATAAGAATCAAAATCCTGTCTGTAGGCTTTT